ATGGACCAATATGGCAAGGCCATGATGATCCACTTGGTAAAATAAATCCGCTTGGCATCTATCTTGGCCTTAAGACAACAATTCTGATGGCTAAAGATCCAAACGGGACAAAAAAAAAAAAAAAAAAAAAAGAAATAACAGACTCTGAGGCCTTCTGTCCAGGCCCCTAAATTTAAACCAGTTAGTTACCAGTTAAGTACACCAGTCTAGAAGGGAGCTGCCATTAATGGATATGGCTGATGGAGGTTGGGCCTACAAGGCCAGTCCTGTCCCTGGTTTTTATCTGAGACAACCGGGGTAGAAATTCTGATCGTTTTGAGGCAGTTAGAGCTGGGCGAATCGCCTCATCCACATTTGTTCTATTTAAGCTCTGTACAGACTGTTGGGTAACACTCATATGTCAGAGGGTAGGACTCTTTTAGCAGAGAGACAATTCAGGCTTCCTGTATTGGGTGCTGGTTCCACCAGATTGACACCACCTCTTATGTTTCACTATGTTCTGTTTTGCATTTTCAAAAATACACTCACAATATACTCATAAACAAAACTTTCTTTATCAGACAAGTTTTTAGATAGCATCGGAGAGTGGGCAGAAGTCATATCAGGTAACTTCATAAAGCTATAAAGGAGCAAAAGCAGCCTTATTCTATACATGCACATTGGTATGAAGTCTTTACTACTGATGAGGACAAACTGTATTTAGATTGAAACAACTGTGACCTTAAAATAGTAAAGTGTCAACAGGAACTTAGAGTGAATAAAATTATACTATATGGGGCAACATACTAATCATAATAATTGTCCAGAAACCTTTTAGAACACAGTGTAAATCCCAAAAAGCTGATTCTTTTTAGCTGGATGTTTTCAGTGGGAGAAAAATTTCATCACTCACCTAAATGACATTTTGCAACCCAGCAAACTTGAAATCCATCTCTAGCAAAGACAGAAGTTTTTTCAAATATCTGTGGGAGTTTCTCTTTTCATATTAATAAAAATCACAATTAAATATGTGGCTATTATTTTATTTAGTTGCACCAAAAACATCATTAACATAGATGCAGAACTCCCTGAATCTCCCAAATATTTCAAAGCTTCACACTTGATACTAAAAATAATCCCTGATTTCATTGCTGTTAAAATGTCACATTAATGGTGGTTTTAGCTCTAAGTGTGGCTGCAGTCTAAGAGGAAATAGTGGCGGACAGAGTATAGAAGAACTTCCTGGAAACATGTTAAAGATGCAAAGAGAATTAAATTAAATAAATAACAGCAAAGGCTGGACTTGTTGTTTTGTCACGTTCTGTTATTACAGAAGATGGTTCTGATGTCATTTGACACAAACATCATGGAAGCTCTAAGAAAGCAGCATTTAAGTTTCAAGGGAGGTTGTCAGTGCTGAAGTCAGATCTGAAAAAAAGCTTCAATGACCTCGACCAGTCAGACTCTAGACCATATCGAGTTGTTATTGTTAGTAAGATGAAGAATGTCTATATGTTGATTTCTGATGCAAACGTCACAGTTACAGGTGTCAAAAACCTACAGCAATACTCCCACAAATTTGATTCTGAGAAACGTTTCATCACCCATCCAAGTGACTTCTTTAGTCTCAGCTGACTGCAGACTGGTGGTCATGGCAATTTGCATATTAATGATCAAGAGACTGACCTCATATTTAGCCATGAGACGCTAAATGTTTTCTCTTATGTCTGTGTCATTCTGACTCGCTCTCTTCACGTCCACATGATTTGGAGAATGTCCAGAGCAGTGAGCAGTTGAGGTATTGTTTCAAACTGTTTAAATATCGGTAGATTTAAAGACAAAGCTTCTACATAAATGCAGTTTCATGTTTGATCTGTATATTGTGGTGTGAATTAGTATAATCTGCAGTTACTGTTCTCGCGAGAACTAAAGTATATATTTATGTACTTCCTAAATAGACATCGGTATAATTTCAGTCTGGCTAAACATGTTCTCAGAGTTTACCACAGTAAGACACTATAACAGTCATCTGTAAATTCACACAATTTTTCTGTAGGTTGCAAAAGAAAACTGAAAGAAACTAAAACTACTGCAAGCACCTCTCCAGGGTTCTGTTTTTGTGGAGATGAGAAATAGCCTGAGCTGGACTTTTGCAATAGCAGGATTTCCAGGTGTCCAGCACAACACAGGCATCCCTCGACTGAGAGGCACCAAATCTAGAAATAGCTGAAATTTTCTGTGGCCTCAAAGCACACAGCATGTTTACTAGTGTGGACAGAACACGGAGAAAGGAAACAGTTTTAAGAGGTGAACAACACTCAACATATGGAGCAAGTCCTGAGCCTTGACCTTGACAGCTTCTGAAACTTGAAAACAAAAACAGTGAAGGTGTTCTCGCTCACGGGGGCACAGGCAGAGGAGGCAAGAGTACAGAAATTCTGTAATTAGTAATATTACAGAATATAATATTAGTAAATGAGAAAACAAATTAATCTAAATTTTAATTACAATTCTAATGAATGTACTCAGACTTAATCTGTTATTTAAAATATACATTTTCTGTTGCCTGCATGATGTTGGGTGGCTTTGTCTCCACACCAAAAAACAGAAAAAAACAGTCAGTGGTTAAAGTGAAATTTGGCAAGTGGGGGAACACACAATCTGTTTTAGCAGCTCAGTGTGGGTAAAATACTCACAACTCACAATAATTTCTAATGTGAGCTCCAGTAGATTTTCTAAATGTCCTGTTCTCACAGTTTACCACAGTAGTATACTATAACAGTTATCTGTGAATTCACAAGATTTTAAGCCATAAAAGAAAACTGAACAACAGCTATTACAAGCATAATAATGATCACATTTACTTTGAACTTAGATTTGAATTTTATTGAAGTGATAAAACAAAAACTTACACGAAGCTACTGATTTTACCTGATACAGACATATGTGAAATGTACAGATGCTTTTTTGCATACAAGAACGTCTCCACAAAGATTCACACAGTTTCACTTTGGTTATGCTTTTATTGAAGTTGGAGTTTATAAGTAGATTTATTACATTATTTACACAGTATAGTTGGCACCTCAAAGTTTCCTTGTATTAAATGAAGTGGAGTAGCATAGCATTAGATTAAGATTGCATGTCTTGATATCTTTAGCTAATCCCCACTAAGGACTGCCACTTACAAGAAGCCATCACATGAGAGTGTGTTTTCTGAAAACCTCTTTGCCAGGATGTACATCTATATTAGAAACCCTGTTATTGTTTTATTTAGACTGCATTAAACACCATAGCCTAATATCTGAATGGTTTTTCTTTTTTGTAAGTGCTGCAACAACACATGATCATCATTGTCCCTTTTTTCTGTCTTTATTTCAACATATTCTGTTTCTCCTCTCCTTCCTGGTTTTGACGTCATTGTCAATGTTGTCCACGTCTTTGGTGCAATGTCATCATTGTCACCAGCGATGCGTTCTCACATGACTAAGTTTCTCCTTCAGCTGCCTCTCGCTCATGGATCCCATCATATACTGTTGCTTGATCAGCATCCAGCTATCAGACACATTGCAGGATAATTTGTCAGCTAATAAAAGTTAAACATCTGTATAATTAAGCTACATGACAGAAGGCTAGCTAATGATATACATTACCATTGGAACTTCTTCAGTCACAGTCTCCAGGTTTTCAGACCTCCTCCATTTTTTTCTGAGAACAAATCAATTAATATGAATCCTTCTTGCAGAAGGTCCCACAGCAGCTCGCAACAACAGCAGGGCATTTACATAAACTGAATTTTTTCTATGGTCACTCTGTTTTTTTGTTTTGTTTTTTTCATTTTTGAGGGAACAAATTATATCTTGAATCATAAATTCCAATTTATCCTTATATGTAAATATGATATGTGCATTACTTATGTATACTGGTCCCATTAGCTAGGAATTACAGGGTATTGGAAATGACAGATTGTCAAACTAACTATACATGATTAGCCCAAACATTATGACCAAATGAAGCATATAAACATTATGCTAACAATGGTGAAATCAAAAATCGGCATATATTAGAAAATGTGTGACTGACAGATGTCATCCATAACTGGTGGAACATTGTGTGATATTTTAAAACCTGTTTCTTGTAGCTGCAAGCAAAGAACAGCATATAAAGCAATAAAAAGCAGCAACTGTCAAAATGTTTTGTCTCATCAGTTTTGCTATTATATTGTATTAAAATAAACCAATGTGTGGATGTTTATCGTTAAAAAAGCTGCATTGTGATACAATGAAAGAGGTCATTTGCATCAAATATATAGGAACATTTTTTTTGTAATATAATAGAATTGATATTAGAAGTAGATTAAATTCTTAGATTAAAATAATCTATATATATTTACAAAAATAAAAAAATAATCTTCACATTCCAAAATTAAACTCTGAAATGTAACTGTACCTGTTGGATTTTGTTACCAAAAAAGCAACGACTGCTGAAAGAATTATCCCAATAAGACAAATCAGAAAGGCCCTCAATGTTGCAGCAATAACTTTCGGGTCTTGTTTGTAAAGATCTGAAATCACAACATTGAAAAAAGTTTTTTGCTTATGTTATATAAAACATGTAAAAACAGGAAGTGAATGTCTTACATTTTTTGATAGCTCTAGTATAGGAGATATATTTTACTTGTAAATACTTACTAACTCTGTTTAACTTCTTTACTGTAATGCTGTGATTTAGTTGTCCAATACTATTACTGCTGACACATTCAATAGTGGAGTTGTCTTAAATTTGAGTATAGGGGAAATATTTAACTCGTAAATACTTACAGTTATTTTCTGTATCGTTTGATGGTGATGAATTAGCATTGAACTCGTTTATTATAAGGCTGACACTTGATGAGGTATTTCCAATACTATTACTGCTGACACATTCAATAGTGGAGTTGTGATAGTGATCTTGGGACACAGTGATGATGCTGGTGACTCTGGTGTTTGACACATTGGTTGTTACAGAGTACTCAGTGTGGCTCTCTAAGTGTGGCCATTTGATGGTGGGTGAAGGAAACCCTCACTGATACACACACAGGTCAAAACCTTTGACTGAGCGACACAAGCAGAGTTATTCAAGATTCTTGCTGCATCTGCAAAAACAGAATAAGAAGCTCAGCATCAAGATTACAGTAAACTCATAGGAACATAAATAGTTTTAACACATTGCTTCAATATAAGAATATCTGATACTGAAGAACACAACAATGTAATTAATATTACATTTACTTTCCAGATTTTAATGAAAACTGCTTTTTTAAGTAAAAAATGCAAAAAATAAGAGCAGACAAAATATAATGTCAGTCATGAAAGTTTTACACTTACAGTAATTACAACATTATTATAATTACTGCTACTACTACTAATACTGTAATAATGATAAAATATACTTTTGCCAAGAGTAATACTCACACTTGACATTAAGAGTTTTTGTCTCATTTGTTTTGACATTTTTGAAGGTGACCTTACAGGTGACCTGACCACCGTTGTGTTTTGTTGAAGCGTTAAAGGTCAGAGTTGACTTGAAGACAGGCATATTCTCAGACTGGAATTCAGTGTTGTGTTTTTTGATTTCATAGAGGTTTTGTCCTGATCCACTCCATATCCAGGTGATATTAGGAGTGGATCCAGAGCAGAGACCAGGAGCGCTGCAGGTCAGTGTAGTCTGCTCTCCCTCTGTTATTTCAGGAATCTCCAGTGTGGGCTTTTCACTCAGCTCTAATAGGAAAGTAAATGAAACAAGACATTATAATCAGCATAAAACCACTACTAATTTAAAGTAGACGTATGATCACTCTGTTAAGTAACTTAAATTGTAAAAAGTACAAGATAAGGCTGAAAAGGTCCAAGACAGATGCAAGCTCTGTGAGGTATACCCAAACATCAGTTTATGTCTGACCAAAGGAATAGACTAAAGGACATTCAGCAGTTTCTGTTTTTCACTTTAGCTGACATATATGATGAATGGAGACACAGGACCTGCATTACAGGAAGTCGTTGTGCCTTTGTGTTAATCTGAGCATCATGTTTATTCACAAAAATCTTTGGAGTGGTAATGATTTAACAACTCTTAAACTCACGTTAAACAAACATGTGCTAGTGCCATAATGCAGCTGTAGTTAATACAACTCATTGTAATTTAGTTGAGCTAACTCATTTAAATCAAACATGATAACGTGGTCACTGTGCAGGGAGTATTTGTGGTAGGTTTTGATACCTGTAACTGTGACTGTGATGTTTGCAATCAGTGTGCAGTGAGTCTTTGTCTTAGCGACAGCGTGATATGATCCAGAGTCCGACTTGGTGAGGTTATTGATAATGATGCTGCAGTTCTTTTTCAGGTCAGCCTCCAACAGTGACACCCTCCCTTTAAACTCAGGTTCAGTTTTCATATTGTTACTGGAGCCAAATATTGTTTTAGTTATGTTTCCATCATGTTTATACCAAGTTATATTTTCAACATTACCATCTGTAGTAAAAGAACATGCTAGAACAACACACAGTCCAGCCTGTGCTGATACATTTTCATCACTTTGTGTGATTATGCTCTTGTTCTTTAGACACTCAGGAGTCCCAGAACCTGAACATGCAAAAACAAAAGAGCACAAACCAGAAGAGAAGAAGCTGAGTTCATGAAAATCAAAACGATGGTAACCAACACCATCAGTTTACATCATTTACAATGTTTATATTTAAAGATGCCTCTTTTACTTTACTTCTGCTGTTAACTGATATGACTTATATAAGCGATGCAGTTCACAGCTGTTGCTTCCCATTTTTAACTTAGTAAATGACATTTTCAAACACGGCTGTCTTTGAAACTGCAGTTTTCCTTCTTTTTGTAGTTTCCTTAAATTCATATATTGATGAAGATTTAAATAAAATTTCCTTCTGTACCTGTGTCAGCGAAGAGCAGAATCACCCAGATGAGAGTTAACATTCTGATTTGAATGACAGCACGGCTTCTCTCCACAGGATAGACGCTTTCTTTTCAAGCACAAACACACAAAAGGTGCAGTAAAATATAGAAAGTTCAGTGGCTGATAGAATCACATACAGGATATTACACTTACATATTTACTGTTTTAATATATTTTTTCATGTGACCAATAAACTTGGCTGAGATCTTGAAATATCAAAGTTTAAAGCATCATATTAAAGCATTTCTTGAAGAATACTACAGAGAAAAATGGATGAAAGTGTTTTACCCTCACTCTGTGTGAACCTCCACCTTTTGTTTCCACACACTGATCTCTGCAGACTGTCTGCTTTCAACTGACTCTTCTTCCTCCTCCTCCTCCTCCTTTGTTACTTCTCTTTGCACTTCAGAAAGTTTCGCTAAGTTTAGCTTTACTCTGCTGGCCATTATTTCCTCTTAGACTGCCACCACACTTACAGCTAAAACCTCCTATCACATTATGATGTTAATGTGAAACTTTAAAAGCAGTGAAATCGGAGATAATCTTGAACATGAGGTGCTAAGCTTTCAAATATTTGGATGTTCAAAACGGTTCAATTGTTTTAAAAACAATCGTCTGACAATTATGCATTGTAATGTATTGTTATATATAGATGCATGTTAATGCTCTGCTTTATGGTGTCACTTTGATCTTTGAAATAACTTCTGTATTTGCAAGAGGAAGATTTGCTGCTTTGTAAAATGTTTGTACTAAAGAAGTCATTTAGATGAGTGATGAAATGTTTCTCCTACTGAAAACTGAAGGAGAAGCTGAACAGAATAAACTCTCTGGGATTTACACATTCTTATTAACATTATTAAGAATGTTAATAATGATCACTTTGTTCTCTCTAAGTTCCTGTTTACACTGTAGTATTTTAATATTACAATTATTTCTGTGTAAATACAATTTGTCCTAATCAGTCATTGACAGCACTAACTAATGTAACCTTTAGACAGCACCACAGTGTGACAGAGAGAAGAACGATGTTGTAACTGACATGTCCCTCAAACATGCTTTCTGTTTCAAAGAGTGACACATTGCTTATTCTAACACTGTAAGTCAAGAATATTCATATAGTACATTTCTGAAAGAGGAAGTAATCCCTGACATACAGAAAAACAGCAGAGCAGTGCCGAAACCTTGCAGCAGGCTCTGGATGCTGGGCTTAGACAGAGCAGGATTCACAGGGGGCCCTAGCCACCTTCAAAACTGGAACAAATGCAGAGGAATGCTGGGTCTGAACCGCCCTGGAGCAGGAGCAGGTGCGGGAAGAGAGACAGGTTCTCGGATGATCACAAGCGAGAAAAAGAAATCATTTTCAGGAACATAAAAGTCCTTGATGAGAACCTCAGAGTACGGAACAATTGTTATGGAAGCAGGCTGATAATGAACCTTCTTCTGATAGTCCAGCACGGGTTCACAATAAACAGTATTAGATTTTTCTGGGCTGCGAACAGCAGTCTTTGCGTTCCACGGAGACGGTGGGAGCATGAATTGAACAATACAACTCTTATTAAATTTGTTTGATGATCTGAATCATTTAAGTGTGACAAAAATACAGATAAAATTGGAAACCAGGAAAGTGGCAAACACTTTTTCACACCACTATACTTGGACATTCACCTGACCGATGGACTGGAGGAACAAAAATGATGCTGCGTATAAGGGGATGAGCAGATTCTACTTTCTAACGAAGCCCAGCTGCTTTAATGTGCCCAGCAAGTTGTTGGAGCTCTTCCATGCCATCTTCCTCTGCTTGTCCACCACTACCATATCCGATTGGTTGATGTCATCCATGTAGAAGAGGTGGTTGATGATTGCTCTATTCCGTTATTGCTGTGAAATGTGTTTCCTTTCCGTTCCTGTTATAAACAGCTTTATGTTTTCCACAATTTACTTACAATATACTCATTAATTGTGCACAATATTTGACTTTTTTGTCAAATAGCATTTAAGAGTGGTCAGAAGCCATATTAGTTAATTACAAAGTGAAAAAGCAGCAAAAGCTTTTTGTTCAATACATTCGCACAGGTATGGCACATATGTTTTTAAAATGGTATCTTCTTTATTTTCCTGTATATTACTCTTTGTTTATACAGGGAGTGCAGAATTATTAGGCAAATGAGTATTTTGTCCACATCATCCTCTTCATGCATGTTGTCTTACTCCAAGCTGTATAGGCTCGAAAGCCTACTACCACTTAAGCATATTAGGTGATGTGCATCTCTGTAATGAGAAGGGGTGTGGTCTAATGACATCAACACCCTATATCAGGTGTGCATAATTATTAGGCAACGTCCTTTCCTTTGGCAAAATGGGTCAAAAGAAGGACTTGACAGGCTCAGAAAAGTCAAAAATAGTGAGATATCTTGCAGAGGGATGCAGCAGTCTCAAAATTGCAAAGCTTCTGAAGCGTGATCATCGAACAATCAAGCGTTTCATTCAAAATAGTCAACAGCGTCGCAAGAAGCGTGTGGAAAAACCAAGGCGCAAAATACCTGCCCATGAACTGAGAAAAGTCAAGCGTGCAGCTGCCAAGATGCCACTTGCCACCAGTTTGGCCATATTTCAGAGCTGCAACATCACTGGAGTGCCCAAAAGAACAAGGTGTGCAATACTCAGAGACATGGCCAAGGTAAGAAAGGCTGAAAGACGACCACCACTGAACAAGACACACAAGCTGAAACATCAAGACTGGGCCAAGAAATATCTCAAGACTGGTTTTTCTAAGGTTTTATGGACTGATGAAATGAGAGTGAGTCTTGATGGGCCAGATGGATGGGCCCGTGGCTGGATTGGTAAAGGGCAGAGAGCTCCAGTCCGACTCAGACGCCAGCAAGGTGGAGGTGGAGTACTGGTTTGGGCTGGTATCATCAAAGATGAGCTTGTGGGGCCTTTTCGGGTTGAGGATGGAGTCAAGCTCAACTCCCAGTCCTACTGCCAGTTTCTGGAAGACACCTTCTTCAAGCAGTGGTACAGGAAGAAGTCTGCATCCTTCAAGAAAAACATGATTTTCATGCAGGACAATGCTCCATCACACGCGTCCAAGTACTCCACAGCGTGGCTGGCAAGAAAGGGTATAAAAGAAGAAAAACTAATGACATGGCCTCCTTGTTCACCTGATCTGAACCCCATTGAGAACCTGTGGTCCATCATCAAATGTGAGATTTACAAGGAGGGAAAACAGTACACCTCTCTGAACAGTGTCTGGGAGGCTGTGGTTGCTGCTGCACGCAATGTTGATGGTGAACAGATCAAAACACTGACAGAATCCATGGATGGCAGGCTTTTGAGTGTCCTTGCAAAGAAAGGTGGCTATATTGGTCGCTGATTTGTTTTTGTTTTGTTTTTGAATGTCAGAAATGTATAATTGTGAATGTGGAGATGTTATATTAGTTTCACTGGTAAAAATAAATAATTGAAATGGGTATATATTTGTTTTTTGTTAAGTTGCCTAATAATTATGCACAGTAATAGTCACCTGCACACACAGATATCCCCCTAAAATAGCTAAAACTAAAAACTACTTCCAAAAACATTCAGCTTTGATATTAATGAGTTTTTTGGGTTCATTGAGAACATGGTTGTTGTTCAATAATAAAATTATTCCTCAAAAATACAACTTGCCTAATAATTCTGCACTCCCTGTATTACTTATTACCGGTAGCTGCTATTTTGTTTCGTATGTACATTCTTCCACTCACCTGTAGGGGACAGAGTAAACCCTCTACAGCACAGTAGTCATATGGTGTGGTCCAAGCCTGGAGCGTCTGCACAGACAGGTTGTATACTATTATACAACCTCGTGTAATACAATTACAAGAGTTAATACTATGCATAAATGAACCCACATTGGCAATGAGTGAGAAAAATATACTTGTGTGTTAAAATAGACAATTTATCGTTGTCAAAATGTTCGCTTAATTTTCAATATCAGAGGCTGACAAATTCTACCCAATTAAACGTGATGACACCAGCTCATATAGTACATTAAGCTATTCACACATTTACTAGAGGTTGCAAAACTTCACCACTGCATAGGTCAAAGGTAGCTGCTTGCACGAATTATCTGTCGGGTTATTTCTTAGGTGCAGGCTTGTACAACCTGCCAAAGCTAATACATGAGCTGGAGAAGCTGAGGGACTATATTTTTCAAAGTTAGGCTTTCCATCTTCCTATTTTTTTTTCTTTATTACAGTGGAAAGATGAGGTGATATGCAAATGTAATGATGAAAAAAAAACACTTCAGATATAATAGTTTATAGTATTTAGTGATATTTCTTTTGCATAATAAATGTTTTAGGTTGAGTTTGCCTTTATGATTCTGTTAATGTTGTTCTATATGTCAGAGGTTACTTCCCCTTTTAGAAATGTGCTGCATGAATACTCTTGACATACAGTATCGCAGTGAGCAATATGTCACTCTTTGAAACAGAAAGCATGTTAGTTACAACATCTTTCTTACCTCTGTCACACTGTGGTGCTGTCTAAAGGTTTCATTAGTTTGTGCTGTCAGTAACTGACAAGGACAAATTGTATTTAGACAGAAATTATTGTAACCTTAAAGCAGTAAAGTCTAAACAGGAACTTAGAGAGAACAAAGTGATCATTATTAACATTATTAATAATGTTAATAAGAATGTGTAAATCCCAGAGAGTTTATTCTGTTCAGCTTCTCCTTCAGTTTTCAGTAGGAGAAACATTTCATCACTCATCTAAATGACTTCTTTAGTACAAACATTTTATAAAACAGCAAATCTTCCTCTTGCAAATACAGAAGTTATTTCAAAGATCAAAGTGACACCATAAAGCAGAGCATTAACATGCATCTATATATAACAATACATTACAATGCATAATTGTCAGACGATTGTTTTTAAAACAATTGAACCGTTTTGAACATCCAAATATTTGAAAGCTTAGGACCTCATGTTCAAGATTATCTCTGATTTCACTGCTGTTAAAGTTTCACATTAACATCATAATGTGATAGGAGGTTTTAGCTGTAAGTGTGGTGGCAGTCTAAGAGGAAATAATGGCCAGCAGAGTAAAGCTAAACTTCCTGTAAACTTGCTGAAGTGCAAAGAGAAGTAACAAAGGAGGAGGAGGAGGAAGAAGAGTCAGTTGAAAGCAGACAGTCTGCAGAGATCAGTGTGTGGAAACAAAAGGTGGAGGCTCACACAGAGTGAGGGTAAAACACTTTCATCCATTTTTCTCTGTAGTATTCTTGCTTCAGTAATTTCATAAAAAATGACTGTAACTGATTGGTGAATACCTAACTGAAGAAGTCTGAGGCTGAGAGATTTCCATTCATAATTTTTAGCTTCTCGATGGCACAGATATCAAGAAATGCTTTAAACTTTGATATTTCAAGATCTCAGCCAAGTTTATTGGTCACATGAAAAAATATATTAAAACAGTAAATATGTAAGTGTAATATCCTGTATGTGATTCTATCAGCCACTGAACTTTCTATATTTTTACTGCACCTTTTGTGTGTTTGTGCTTTGAAAAGAAAGCGTCTATCCTGTGGAGAGAAGCCGTGCTGTCATTCAAATCAGAATGTTAACTCTCATCTGGGTGATTCTGCTCTTCGCTGACACAGGTACAGAAGGAAATTTTATTTAAATCTTCATCAATATATGAATTTAAGGAAACTACAAAAAGAAGGAAAACTGCAGTTTCAAAGACAGCCGTGTTTGAAAATGTCATTTACTAAGTTAAAAATGGGAAGCAACAGCTGTGAACTGCATCGCTTATATAAGTCATATCAGTTAACAGCAGAAGTAAAGTAAAAGAGGCATCTTTAAATATAAACATTGTAAATGATGTAAACTGATGGTGTTGGTTACCATCGTTTTTGATTTTCATGAACTCAGCTTCTTCTCTTCTGGTTTGTGCTCTTTTGTTTTTGCATGTTCAGGTTCTGGGACTCCTGAGTGTCCAAAGAACAACAGCATAATCACACAAAGTGGTAAAAATGTATCAGCACAGGCTGGACTGTGTGTTTTTCTAGCATGTTCTTTTACTACAGATGGTAATGTTGAAAATATAACTTGGTATAAACATGATGGAAACATAACTAAAACAATATTTGGCTCCAGTAACAATATGAAAACTGAACCTGAGTTTAAAGGGAGGGTGTCACTGTTGGAGGCTGACCTGAAAAAGAACTGCAGCATCATTATCAATGACCTCATCAAGTCGGACTCTGGATCATATCACGCTGTCGCTAAGACAAAGACTCACTGCACACTGATTGCAAACATCACAGTCACAGTTACAGGTATCAAAACCTACCACAAATACTCCCTGCACAGTGACCACGTTATCATGTTTGATTTAAATGAGTTAGCTCAACTAAATTACAATGACATGTATTAACTACAGCTGCATTATGGCACTAGCACATGTTTGTTTAACGTGAGTTTAAGAGTTGTTAAATCATTACCACTCCAAAGATTTTTGTGAATAAACATGATGCTCAGATTAACACAAAGGCACAACGACTTCCTGTAATGCAGGTCCTGTGTCTCCATTCATCATATATGTCAGCTAAAGTGAAAAACAGAAACTGCTGAATGTCCTTTAGTCTATTCCTTTGGTCAGACATAAACTGATGTTTGGGTATACCTCACAGAGCTTGCATTTGTCTTGGACCTTTTCAGCCTTATCTTGTACTTTTTACAATTTAAGTTACTTAACAGAGTGATCATACGTCTACTTTAAATTAGTAGTGGTTTTTATGCTGATTATAATGTCTTGTTTCATTTACTTTCCTATTAGAGCTGAGTGAAAAGCCCACACTGGAGATTCCTGAAATAACAGAGGGAGAGCAGACTACACTGACCTGCAGCGCTCCTGGTCTCTGCTCTGGATCCACTCCTAATATCACCTGGATATGGAGTGGATCAGGACAAAACCTCTATGAAATCAAAGAAAACAACACTGAATTCCAGTCTGAGAATATGCCTGTCTTCAAGTCAACTCTGACCTTTAACGCTTCAACAAAACACAACGGTGGTCAGGTCACCTGTAAGGTCACCTGTAACGTCACCTGTAAGGTCACCTTCAAAAATGTCAAAACAAATGAGACAAAAACTCTTAATGTCAAGTGTGAGTATTACTCTTGGCAAAAGTATATTTTATCATTATTACAGTATTAGTAGTAGTAGCAGTAATTATAATAATGTTGTAATTACTGTAAGTGTAAAACTTTCATGACTGACATTATATTTTGTCTGCTCTCATTTTTTGCATTTTTTACTTAAAAAAGCAGTTTTCATTAAAATCTGGAAAGTAAATGTAATATTAATTACATTGTTGTGTTCTTCAGTATCAGATATTCTTATATTGAAGCAATGTGTTAAGACAATTTATGTTCCTATGAGTTTACTGTAATCTTGATGCTGAGCTTCTTATTCTGTTTTTGCAGATGCAGCAAGAATCTTGAATAACTCTTGTGTCACTCAGTCAAAGGTTTTGACCTGTGTGTGTATCAGTGAGGGGTTTCCTTCACCCACCATCAAATGGCCACACTTGGAGAGCCACACTGAGTACTTTGTAACAACCAATGTGTCAACACCAGAGTCACCAGCATCATCACTGTGTCCCAAGATCACTATCACAACTCCACTATTGAATGTGTCAGCAGTAATAGTATTGGAAATACCTCATCAAGTGTCAGCCTTATAATAAACGAGTTCAATGCTAATTCATCATCATCAAACAATACAGGAAATAACTGTAAGTATTTACGAGTTAAATATTTCCCCTATACTCAAATTTAAAACATTTCAATACCTGTTTTCAGCTTTAGGTAATCAGCACGGTTTATCTCATTTGATTTCAGATATATTCACAGAGTTTTTAACGATTATTCTAGAGAAGAAAGTCTACATTGCAGTATTGACGGGGTTTGTGATTGGGATAATCCTTTCAACAGTCATTTCTTGTTTGGTAACAAAATGTCGCAGGTAATATTACTATTCTATTTTTGACATCAGTGTTTTTGTATATTTTATTTTATAAAAAGGAATATTATATTTTCTGAATTGTTCATATTAATGCTCACCATCTTCCTGGTATATTCGAACGATTTCTGTTTGCACACATGTAAATTTCTATTAGGTCATTTTATATAAAGTTTATTATATACTGTTAGAGATCCTAAATGGTGACTTAAATTTTTATACCAGAACTTTCCACATATAAATACCATTATATATGGGAAAGAACTGAAACACATATTGTAAAATATCAAAATTGTCAGATATTGTATTGTCACCATTATCATGCTGCAATCATTATTTACTTTTTGTGAGTTTTCATACAGTTTTGGCTTATCTTACGTCATCAGCTTCCGGAAATTAAAACTGAGACACATGCCATCATATTTATATGTAAAGATAAAGTGCAGTTTTTTGATCCAAGATATTTTTTCGGCTTTTAACATGAGAAAAAACAGATTGAGCACAGAAAATAATCAGATTATGTGAACTATATGGGGGGGTTTTTTGCCACGACACAACACTTCTGGTCTGCTGTGAGACCTTCACTAAGCTTCATTTCTATTAATTAATTTCTTCCCAGAAAAAAGTGGAAGAGGTCAGAAAATCTGTCTGAAAACCTGGAGATGGCGACTACTGAAGCTGGTCTAATGGTAACTTAAATAAGTACTTAGCCTTTGGTAACATATCTGAATATGATATTTATTTTATGATATTAGTTTGATTTTAATTATATTTTTGGTCAAATATTAAGCTAGTTTGGTTTCTGTCATGTTATTACGTCATTATTGTTTTTTATAAGCTGTCAAATTACCTGTAATTGCTGCCTTGTGCTTGACAGATGGATGCTGATCAAGCAGCAACATATGATGGGATCCGTGAGCCAGAGGACGCTGAAGGAGAAGCTGAGTCTGTTGCACAATTACCATCCAATGGAAACTGTACAGCAGAGGTGGAGTACTCCGACATTAACTTCTCTGCACTAAGACCCAAGAACCCTGAAGAGGCAGCAAACACACAGGATGCCAGAGACACAGAGTATGCTGAAATTAAAAGAGAAGAAGTGAGACAAGAAGATGCCCAAGGGGACAGTGAAATGTTGGAGGGCAATGAAGAGAATGAGTTCATGAGTAAAAAGGACAATGAGGAAGGTGAGGATGTGGCGCTGTATTCCAGTGTGGAGGAATTAATGGGTTAATTATGAGAGCTGTGAGATCTATCACATTTGGAGAAATTAACATTACAAACAGAAGATACATGCATGCTGCAATCAACGTATGCGTTGAGAATTGTGTGTGCGTTGTTAGATGAGATGGAATTTCTGGGATTTTTCAATTACGAAAAATATAAGCATGTATGTAATATAAAAGGATAAACACGTTTCCACAGGACTTACAAAAATGGTAAAAATATCAGGCTGTGGTGTTTAATGTGGTCTAAACAGAAAAATAGTGGGTCGACTAATCAGATCCAGGTGGTGACAAAAAGGTTTTCATGAAATATCCTCTCATGTTATAACTTCTTTCTTTGGTATGTAAGTGGCAGTCATTAGTGGAGACTCCACTTATTTAATACAAGGAAATATTCAGATGTCAGCCATACTATGTAAATATAGTAATAAATCTTCTTATTAACTTCACCTTCAAAAGACTGTTCCACAAGAACATAAGGTGAAACTGTTTAAATTAGGGGTGTCAAACTCCAGTCCTCAAGGGCCGGTGTCCTGAAACGTTTCCATGTGTCCCTGCTGCAACACACCTAGATAACCTTAGTATGTCATTTGCAAAATTCTGTAGAGTTTGACTGTCTGCTGAGATGGCAACCCCTAACCCAAGTCAAGTAAATTTAAATAAATGAAGTGGAAAATGTACGTGTAAAAGTACTTTTATTGCACTGTGTTCATTCACGTATGAGCTGCTGTGAATCAAATGGCTGAATTCCCCATCTCAGCATGCTAATGACCTACTAATGTTATTCAGGTGTGTAGCAGCAGGGACACATAGAAAAGTTTCAGAACGCTGACCCTCGAGGACTGGAGTTTGACACCTGTGGTTTAAAACATGAATATAAATGTTAAATCTTTGTCAAAAAGTTTTTGTATGCAAACAATATTCTTTACATTTTGCATATCTCTGTATGATACATCAGGTAGAATTAGCAGCTTCATGTAACAGTCAAACATTTCATCATGTTAATAAAATTCAGTCATAAATAAGGTGAATGCAACTGAAATCAAATTCAAGCTCAGAGTGAGAATTTATTCAGTTACATTATTGAGTTTATGCAGGAGGGGAGAGAACACCTTTGCTTTGTTTTAAACCATAAAAGCTAAAGGAAAGCACACCCTGGTAAAGCTTTTGTACAAATTCAGACCACGCATGGCATTTTCTAGTTTGACGCCTCTCAGACGAGGGTTGTCTGTGTTCTGCTGAACTGCTGTAAATAGTGCAACTGCAAAAGTCCAGCTCCACCTTTCAGGCTACTTCCCAGCTCAACAAACACTGGACTAAGGGGGTCATAATATTTAGATTTCAGGTTTCTTTTACAGCTTAAAATTGACCGTTATAGTATCTTACTGTGTCAAAATGTGAGAACAGGAAGATTAGATCCACCGATAATAGAGTGATGCCTAATAAGGAAGTATATATATATATATATATATATTCGTCTGTGACTCTTGTGAGAACAATAACTAGTTCATGAATACTGTGCATGTGTACAGATGACAGTTGTAAGTAGATGAATGCTCAATCTTTGTGTTTGAATCTGCGGGTATCTAAAGCATCTTTTAAATAATATTGTTTTAATCATATATTTTTTAATATGGTTTTCATATATTAGTAATCGCACACCATCATACTTTAAACAGTATGCACTGTGTCAGCTATTTCACAGTTTAAAGTGGTGATGAGGCAAGATAAGTGAAGATAAGGTTGTTGTTGGTTGGTTGGTTAGCATGACAACACATTGTTTCT